CGAAAGTTCCGACTAAGAAGGTGAAAAATTGCGAGAAAAAGGCTCTGTCTTAGAGGGGGAGGAGCAACTTATCACGACTCGGAGGACCGTCCCTTCCTACCGTCCCTTTGTCAGAATCAAGGACACGAAAGAGGATCTCCTTTCTCATATTCTAAAGCTGATGCCTCTCGTCTTCCCTCTTGTTCCGTCGGCCGTGAGTCGCCGTGAAAGAGCCTCTAAAGTGCAAAAACTTTTCTCCCGCGAGTGGGCAACTTCGAAACTGAACTCGAACTCAAACTCGAGCGCCGCGTCCCTTTCCCCCTTCGCTCCCGTCCGCCTCGCCAGACCCTCCCACCCCTCTATAAAAGATCGAAGAGGCGGGGCGGAATCAATTTTACATTCGACAATAAAGCTTCCTGACACCGAGGAACTTGTCCCCTTTTTCGGCATCTTTGTCACGTTGTCGAGCCAATTCAAGTTTTACAACCCCGCCGGCACCGGGAATTCGCGGCCGAAAGAAGGGGGGTGGGGGGCGTCGATGAAAATGGAGGAATCTAATTAATCCGGCGGACTTTCAGGTGCAACGACGACTGGACCGGCACCAAGTGCGATCAGAAGCCCTGCGACCCCCGCTGCGCGGAGCACGGCCAGTGCAAGAACGGCACCTGCGTGTGCAGCCAAGGATGGAACGGAAGGCACTGCACCCTTCGTAAGTGCAACCTTATCACGTCACTTTTTCTTTGGAAATATTCTAGTGTATCGGAAGAATCTTCCAGTAAGATTCAGTTGACATGAAACGTTCATGATTAATTCATTATATTTATTGGACGCTTCTTCTATTTTGTATTTTATACCGTCGTTCGTCGAATAGATTCTGGTAGAATTAAAACCACCGAGTAGTAAGAGCGGTGTGATCAACGAGTTCCTTGAAATATGCAACAGCTAAGAACTCGGTAATGTTTAAAGTCCGCTAAACGTAGCCGCGCGCAGGATGCTCCTGTAGATTTGTTTCGCAAGTCGGATAACTGTTTTTCCATCGTGAAACGCGGCGAGTGCCGTTCGAGTAACTAGAACGAAAGGAACATCGGTTTTCAATTAGCATTAATCGTCCGGCGACAGCGCGGATTAAAGTATTTGCTCTGGTTTCTTGATAGCCGGATGCGAGAACGGGTGCAGCCGGCACGGGACCTGCACCTTGCTGGACGGCGAGTACAGTTGCAACTGCTCGATCGGCTGGGCGGGTAGAGATTGCAGCATACGCCTTGAAATGGAGTGTAATGATTTCATTGACAATGATCAGGGTGAGCATCGAAAGTATTCTTCTTTATGGATCGTTAACGGGGTACTAAACAAATCGATAATGTATTCTGCTGCTGATGATTATACTTGAACTCGATTGATCCTTTCAGAGACGCTAAAATATCTCGTGTTCGATAATCGTTGCAGCGTTCGATTACAATGTAATTAACCTCTTGCGCTGGAAAGACATGCTACGCACGTCGAGACGTTTCTGTTTCAAAATGGTCAACGACGTCTTACACATTGATAATCTCGTTGCATTACGCATATTAGATTGTTTCGAAATGTATCACTCTGTACAAAATGATTAACAAACGAAATGTCCATATCAGACTTTCTCAAATCTCTAAATTCATTTCCAGCGTAAGTGGTTAATAGTGACATCTGATAGCAGTACGAAACGTGAAGGTTCATTTCTTCCATTAGTCTCTGATGGAAGCCTGTTACGATAGTCTTCCAAAAATCACGCTTTCCTTTTGATTCCGAGAGAAAAAAGTAATAGAATCCCGTCGTCATCAGCCCATGACTGTTTTCACGGGAGACGCAACAACGAAACGCGAACAATGCCGACGGTATAAAGGGTGAGAGAGGTGTTCTAAGAAGTAATGTTTCTCAGATGGCATGACGGACTGTTCTGACAGCGAGTGTTGCTCGCACACAGCTTGCGAAGAGCATATCATGTGCCTTACTAGTAATAATCCCGTGGACGTGCTTCTACGCAAACAGCCGCCCAGCGTCACGGCGTCGTTTTACCAGCGCGTGAAATTCCTCGTCGAGGAGAACAGCGTACAAAGCTACGCTCACATGAACGAGTTCTCCGAAAGGTAAGATCGATCACTTCTTCTTATTCGGTTTACCATGATTATAATATTATATATTATATATAGAACGCTTAGTACCTTATTTTTACAAAGAGTAAGAGGTTAATATATAGGAGAGCGAGCCAGTCCTTGCTTAGGCCATTTTTCGAAATTTCTAACTGAAGCTTCATTCGAGAGACATTCGATACTTGAACGATCCTCTCGAAAATCGAATAAAATAAGCTCTGTTATAATAATTGTTTGTGATTGATTAATCTGATATAGTTTATAATGTATATATCAATGATTTCGAAGGGTTCAAGTGTCTCTAATGTTTCAGAAGATCGAAATTCGATGGGGAAACCGATGTTCATTAAAATGAAATTTAACAAATCCATTCGTCCAGAATTGCCAGCCGAATGTTCCGTAGAACGGCCGTTTGAGATGAACTCGAATAACGACCAAGCACCGGCTCGCTCGGCAACATCGATATACACGCGTACAGTTTAACAAAAGGAAACGGAGTATAGCAATAGCTTCGCGTCATAGTTTGGCCTCTCGCAATCTCGAAACTCGTTCGGATCAAGCGCGGTTACTTTCCGCGTGTTTTATTATCATCCACGAGAACTGCCGCAGATCATTTAATTTCATTCCGGGGGAGGAGCCTTTTCATTTCCGTCTCGTCGTGTTTACGGCACGGCCGCGATAGAAACGCTCGAAAATGTGCAGTATTTTGTGTGTACAGAGGAACGGGAGAAGAGACCATTGTATCAGTTCTGATGCGCAAACGAGTTTGATTTACACAGACGATGCGCACACGGTCACGATGGTTTCGCTAACCAGTTTGTTTACGCGTTTCATTTTCCCGACGAAGCTTCACGATGGGGCAAAATACGAAAAAAAGCTTTCCCGCTCGCGCGTATATACACACGCTCGCACGTTGCACCTCGCCGCGCAGCACATCCGACGATTCGAATTCACGTGTCGATCGCGCCGCCGATCGATCGGATCCCTAGCGCGTTCCACCGGCGAGCATTCCAATCCGCCTTCGATCTGTCGCGTTAACCAGCATCGAATCGATTACCTCGTGCACTCGCGAGTAACGAAATTTTCGTGCCGGCAGATCAACGGAACGTCGGGGCGAGGCTTCTCCTTTATTTCTCGATGTTCTACCGAAGTTTACGGTAGTGGGAGCTCGGTGTT